CAATAATACAGTTTAAGTAAAAAAGCGAAGAAGTATACAAAAAAATAATGTGTTCGTAGAAGTTTAGTGATTAATTTCGGAATATATAATCTCCTAAACACTCAGTTACCTACTTATCTTTTGAAAGTATTATTATGATCAAATATTTTGTAATTACAATTGAATCATTAACATTGGTTAAATTTAATCGGTTCAAAGATTGAGTAAAATTAAATTATGAGTAACTACATATTTCAGAAAACGACTCAATTATTAACACTTGATTTTCGTACGTCCGGTTCCCTTTTAAATGTTAGTAGTTAGTAAAAAAGAAACTTAGGAAAATGCATATAAATGAAAAGGGCTTACCATAGGTTTTGGACGATGAGTATCGACAGCTTCAATTGGCAATTTTATATGCTCGACGTGACAACCATAAGCAACAGGCGTTAGCTTGATGACAGTGTGCAAGGGTACTCTTAAATAAGGTAATTCATCTGCAACAATTTGAGTTTCTAGATGTCATACGTCTTTTCAAATTCACTATTGTAAATTATCACATTACCTGCCGATTTGTCAAGGAAATACGCCAATAAACAACGAATGACCGCCTGATGTGACACAACAAGCACATTTCCTTGTCTTTCCAATTCCATTATGACCGGTTCTAATCTCGCCACCAAATCTTCATAGCTTTCCCCTCTTGGGTATCTGTATGCGAATTTGTTCTGATCACGTGCAGAAAAGTCCTCGGGGAATTTTTCACGAATCTCTTCATATGTCATCTCTTCGCAAATTCCCTAAAATTGAAAAAAAAAAATTTACTACTCACTCGTTTACAGTAAAACAAAGTTAAACAGCAAAAATAATTTTAAAAGTAAATTTTATTGTTACTTGAAGGACGTTCATTTTGTTCTTCTCTTCATATCATAATTAATTAATTTCTATATTTGACGTAATGAAGCCTTATGATATGTAGTGAAATACTAGTTGAAATCGGATTAATTTCCAACACAAATTATTGTAAATGAACCTCGATGTACTCTGTTAAATTGTTAACTGGATTCAATGACGCTGGTAGCTAGAAATAACTCGTTTAGCAGTCCAGTATACCGAAAATTACACTTTATTTTTACAATTAGCTATTCTGGAATCCTCTACAGAATCCCTTCTGTTATATTCGTCCACTTGATTAACAGGAAATTAAAAAGAGGAGAAAGAAGACTTACTGCATCAATTTCATTGAGTGCTTTCCATCTTTCCTGTGGAGCTGGTATATCTGCAACTGTTTGTATCGCCCGTTTCAGCCAAGATGTCCACACTCGAAGACCTTCAATTTTTTGTTCTTTAATATAACTGGATAACGCTTTTGCATAAAGTGCTCCCCGACTGCTCAAATTTGAATCGCCTCCGATACGATACATTAAATTCTGTTCACTTTCACCATGCTAGAATAAAAGAGTGGTGCACATTTTCAATATATTCATTTGATATTCAACTAATAATACTCACTCTAGTAAGGTAGATTGTCCTAGGAGTTATATGTATGTTCATAAGATAATAAACTATTCTAGCTTCCACATGTCCCTCGTGCTTGTGAACGACGACCTTCTGACCCGTGTTATAAATTTTCATGAAGGCAATTTTATTTTCACGTTCTTCGTCTAAAGGTTGATATCTTTCTTGGTAGTGTTCTATCCGTTTTAAAAAGTCGGTCAACACTGAGTCCTCGTTCATGTTAGCATAATCCGGACTACTGATTTTGACTTCTTTGATGTTTTGTTCGATGATTTTTGGATCGTCGCAAATCGATTCGACGAAGAAAAGCTTATAGCCCATTTTTTCAACGATAACTTCATAGATCATTTTCCTACGGTCTAGGGTGGAATTAGTGGCATCAAAGACAGCTACTTCTCCACCATTTTCTAACCATCTGATAACGTCGTTAAGAGCCTCGACAGCGCATTGTGTTCTTATCTTCATAGCTGCCATATTATCAGCTCGAAAAAAATCATGACTCTTGTATGCCGTAGTAGCATGTCTACGGTATTCTCCCAAATTAAAAACTGAAAGAAAAAAGTTTTTTGAACATGTTGAAGTTAATTAAAAGCAATACTTCTTATCCTATTATTAATTTTACAAAAATTGTTATTTTTTGTGAAGCAAAAATGACAATGAAATTTATGTTCATGACATGTTATTAAAATAAACGTATTCTGACGAATTCTTATTATTTATTTTATTACCTCTTGTTTTTATTCCTATCCAGTTCAGGTAACGTGACAGTTTCTTGGAAATGTACGTTTTGCCACGCGCTGGCAATCCAACCATTGCAATAACATGGGGACTGTTAACGAAATCTGTTCTTTCCCCTGCAAAAATAATAAAATAAAAATTGTTATATATTTTCCTTTACGATTTACTACTGGCAGTCTTCTAGTAAAGTATTGATGAATTCATCTAATACAGAACAATTTAATCAACTAAAAGTTTCCATTAATAATCTGTTTATCACAAGTTGTCCCTGTTTTTTTTCTGGGATAGTTTTAATCTTTATATTGTGAATTTGAATAAGTAGGTTGAAAGTATCTTAAAATCTATAAATTTTTAATATTCCTTTTAAATATCCAGGCATGCTATTCAAAATTATAAAAAAAATATGTTTTGGCTCTCAGTAAGAATCCCTTTTAAATTATACATATGTGTACACACATTTAATGTGAAATAATTATACATATGTACATACATACATATATAAACATAATAATAACAGATAAAGTTCCATGATTAATTAAACACGCATTAATCAGGAAAGTTACACACATTGCACACTTTACATTCACGTTTTTACTTCGCACTAGAAACTATTGATTTTGAGTACCAATGGCGTAACTGACAATCTCCCTCACTAAAAATTCTCCTGCGCCCCTTTTACTAACGCAGTAAATTTTAATAAATTTTTGATACTTTTGACAGCAGTTCACTTATCAGTTTTTGATTTAACAGGAATACAACACATTTTAGGGCGTTTTTTTTTTCGAACATTAAGTGACTCAAATTTTAATAAAATAATAACAATTTTTATTGTTTATTTAATTGTTTAAATGAGAACAATGCTATACACGTAAGTTCCTTTATTAATTTTTCCATTCACGGACAGCTTCAGTTTTTAAGAAATTTTAAGTGTTAAACAACGAAAAACGTTATCTACGTTTGTAAAATAATCATATCTGAGTTAAGTTTATTTGTGAAGAAAGTGTAAATGTTCTGATAAACACGAAAATGAAAATACATATGTAATACACATACCATTATCGACAATAATTTGTCGCTGAAATTTTACACCACTTCTCAACATTTTTTAATCAATAGGTATCGCGATGATAATATTTTATAATTTAAGAATTCTTGATGATTTTTAATTATATGAACTTATTATCGATAGATGTTTTTATAAGTATTAGTTTTCCAAATACCTAATCAAACGCACAAGCACGAAAGTACCATTAACTCATTTTGTGTATTGAACTTACACTACGTAATATGTTCATGTAACATACTACAATAATGTGTAGATAAACATTGATAATATTCTATCACGTCGCAGGTTTTATAAATACTGAGTAAAAAATGGCATACAAAACACAAGAATGCGTTCGATATGCTACTTATTGTTACATAATAGGCAACAAAAATTGTTACATCAATACTTTATGTTTTATGAACATTTACAATTAACATAACATAAAACCTGCATAATGCGCAATTTCACAAATGACATTTAAGTACTTCCACTTTTGTATGAAATTGTAATAAAACAAAAGTGTACTACACTGTCTATAATAAACATCTACTTTAATTGTAAAACATGGGTAAAGGTCTAGATAATGGCCCGAAGGGGGTGGGGATCGAAGAAGAAGATCTACCCCACCACTGTACCATAAAAAGTTTGTGGCGGTCTCACCCCCATAAAAAGTTATAGGGGGTTCAATGTTAATAAATATGCCAACTTTTATACATGTAAATATTTATACAGTCGTTCTTAAACAATATTCAAAGATAAAACTAATGGAAAAATACATAAAAATATTGAGAAAGTTATATATAGGGTNAAAACTATTAAAATTTGAAAATATATTTTGAAAAATATTCACGTCATAACACCTGTAATTTTTACTTACAGAAATAGCAATTTTTAAATTCAAAGGTGGGGTAGTGGACACCCTTACAACAAAATTGACTTTGTACATTTGTTCACGTTATCTACAAACAAAATTATCAAAATCTCATAAAATAATTTCGAAAACTACGCAAGTTATAACACCTGTAATTTTTACGATCAAAAATTACAATATTATAGGTTCAACATTACAAAACTTTAGGTTCAGTAGGAAGTTGTCACAAATTATCATATCTGACAATCGAATTTTGAAAAATATGCAAGCTATAACATCAGTGGCATTTAGTATCAAAAATGACGAAGTTTTTAATTCACCGGACCCTTATAAAAACCTGACTTCATACTTTTTGTCCCTGTTTGACAAATGAATTTCTAAAAAAATCTATCAACATACTTTGTCTCTGATAAATATGGCACAGTTTTAGGTGCAAAAAAGAGGCACAAAAATTAGATATTACACATTTTGTCCCCGCCCTCTTCAAGAAAAAAAACTATAAATCTGATAAACGAATTTTGAAAGAAATGCAATATGCAACACCTGAAACTTTTACGTTCAGAAATTGCAGAATTTCAGGTTCAAAATAAGGGTACAGAGTACAGTTACATAAGATCTGACTTCACATATTGTCGACAATCGGATTATCGAAAATAACATTAAGACAGCTAATTTTCTATCAGGAATTGCAAAAATTTAGGTTTAAAAGGAGGGTAATTAGCACTCTCTGTAAACAAAACTATCAAATTCTAGCAAAGGAATTTTGAAAAATGAGCACGTTATAACACTTTAAGCACATGCAAAAAACAATGTAGTAGAAAGCATATTTCATATGCAGCCAAACATAGGCCCGTCTAATTTGATTGTCCAAAAATATTCAATTAAGTAAGAAGACTAAGTAAGATTAGTTTTCGAGCTTGTCTATAAAAACAAAAAAAATGGACAGGAACTGAGAATCTGAGTTTCATTGTAATTCAATGACAAATTTGAAATTTCTAACTAGATCAATATTTTAAAATAAGAATGATTTTTTTAATCTGCTGAAATATTTTTAAAATATTTCTGAAACAATAAATTGTACTATTGCGATATCCAAAGGTTACTAAATCTTAAGAGAACTATAGGTAAATAAATAGTTTTGTTTAGCAATTCTTCCCCACTTACATAGTAGTAGGAAACATGGCGCAGTAATAGGGGTTGCAAAATCTTATTTATTGCGAAAATTTTACTATAAATTAAATTTCACAACCTCTATTACTGCTTTATGTTTCCCAAATGATTTTGTGTTAAATTCAATTAATGTTGCCACCTACCATACTGGTTGTAACTCCCAGTGTACTCAAGGCGTCGCTAAGTCACTGTCACAAATTGTTCCTTCAGCAACACAGATCACATTCGATTGTGAGTAAAGACATGTTCCTTCAGGTACTGCTGCATTCTGGGGTGAAGATCACTACAACCAATACCCCACAACATACAGATCCTCAGTTTGTGTACTGGCGTAATGCTCCTGTAAAATTCAACAATACATAAATGTATATAATCAAGTTTTTATCGTAAATAAAATGAAATTATTTTGAAAATATGGAATTCTGAAAGTCATGTTTTTACTACTACTAATGAACAAGTGGACAACTTATAGTTTAAAAAATACGTAAATGTATGTTTAATTGGTTTTTAACTAACCTACTGGAATTAAAATTAGGCAAAATGACGAATTAACAACACTATTCCATAAACAATATAACACAAAAACAGATAGCACATGAGATTGACCACACTTATACATCAAATGTCAAACTAAAACCATAGGTAAAAATTAAAATTGCCTTAGATATTTTTGTAAGCATAATAGATAAACGTAAAGGGATAACCATAGATGCTCAACATACTACAACCATAGATATAAAGAATTAATTGAGCAATATCCTAATGAAATTGACTACCGTCTAGAGAGAAAACAATCATACGGCCAATACCTGCCTTTTCCTTTTTCTTTATCCCATTTTTCCGCTCCGGTAGGACTTTGACGTACACCAATCAAAATTCTAGACGATCGCACTCTCTCTCACGTTTCTGCCTGAATTACTAAATACAGAATGCGGAGTATATTCCCTGTCTATAGTAAATAGATTTCGCTCTTGGCGAGTTTTACTAATCGTGAACACTTAAGCAGAGTGAATTACATGTAATAATTATTGAATATAAATTAAATAAGATCAAAGTCTAACTTTCAAGATTAATAATTAAAAATAAAACAGTGCACAAAAACTTACAAAAAAACATATTTTGCGTTATTCGATTTCTTTTTATTACATCAGATTAAGTTATTATTTAACATTTTCATTTTTATTCATAAAAGTACAAGTATACTATTATACTAATACATATTTACACAACGGACCTACATAAATTACACAAAACACAACACTTGAGATGATCAACATGTCGTTTAAAAAAAAAATAGGTCAACATATATCGTAGAATTACATCAGTTGTATATAGGTATTTTAGTTTCGAGAAAGTAAGTGCCCAGTCCACTGTCGACGATTAACAAGTCGAAGTGAGATGAGAAATCACAATTACGGGAAAAGTTACGAAAATATAGGCACCCTTTTTTTCAGTCGTTCTCAAAATAAATATGTGTCCTTACATTCAATGCTTTTTTCTGAACTTTTCCTCCAATTCACCAGGAACCTTGAAAATGATTCAAAACTTACAGTAACATTCAGTTAATAAAATAAGGCGCTAGCAATCACACTTTAACAAAAACAAATGTTTGTTACTTTTAAAAACACTTTAACTACATATTATTATTGTTGCAAGGCTTAATATTTTATGTATTACAACAGCAAACATGAGAAGTTAGTGTGTTTGGAAACCATACTGCGCCACCATAGATTTCTAGCTTTCCTAAAACATTATTGTAATCATGCACAACGCAGAAATTTATGACAAGGAAAATTACAAATAAATAAATAAAAATAATTTTGACCATTCGTTAGTTTTTATTTATTTATAGACAGTTATCTGAAACTGTTGCCAAAGAAAAAGTTAAAATAACTTACAGAAATTTGGAAATCATTCAACTTAATTTCTTTTTAGGCAAGTTTAGTTCATAAATAATAAAGTTGTCATTTCTGTCTATTCATTTTTCTCATTTACTATAAGTACAAGTACAATAATTTTGACGAAAAATAATAAATATAGTTAAATATCTTCTCTGGGGTTACCCATGATAATACAAATAAATTAATTAATAAAAAAGCATTATCGCTTATGCAATACTGTGATAAGAAAGACATTATTAGTAAATTAAAGAACTTAATTTAAGAAAAACTGTAGAAATTTCTAAGGACTACGGTTAATAAGACTATAATAACAATCAGTTACACGTTATCCAATTTTTTTATATATATTGCATTGTTCCATCTAACTGTTCTAATAAAATTAGTATTTTAAAAAAAATTCGAATAGTCAGGTTTGATCATCAAAGCAATCTTATATATTGGAGATTCTAAATTTTATTCATTTCAAGAACAGTATAGGAAACAATAACAGAAAACTTCATTCATTTTCATATTTGCCTCAACCCTAGTCCTCTTTAGAATTAACAGAAGACACAGAAATACCTTTCTTGTTAAATTGACAAAGGAAAACTTGAACTAAAAGTTGTTTATTTACATTACTATCCTGCTCTTGATATCATTCACAATTTTCTTGAAAACCAAAATTATATCAGCTTATCATTCTTTAAGTAGAAGTTATTTCTCACAATAATACAGTTTAAGTAAAAAAGCGAAGAAGTATACAAAAAAATAATGTGTTCGTAGAAGTTTAGTGATTAATTTCGGAATATATAATCTCCTAAACACTCAGTTACCTACTTATCTTTTGAAAGTATTATTATGATCAAATATTTTGTAATTACAATTGAATCATTAACATTGGTTAAATTTAATCGGTTCAAAGATTGAGTAAAATTAAATTATGAGTAACTACATATTTCAGAAAACGACTCAATTATTAACACTTGATTTTCGTACGTCCGGTTCCNAAAAATCTTTATCAATAGGGTAGGTTAGGTTAGGTTATCGGGTTTTGTTCAAGTGACCACCCTCTTTCGATTCCCCACCTCCACCCGCTTGAAAATATTTTTTTATTGAATTTTATTTGAATTATAGTGTATGAAAATTGTCAAAATGATCAACTTTCAACCCTCATACCTTTTTAGGGGGGGGTTAGACCGCCGCAAATTATTTATGGGGTTTTACTCAGGTGACCACCCTCTTTCGAGCGCCCCTTCCCTTCATCATCTAGACATTTACCAAAACATGTTTCAGAAATTTTGTTTCGTTTTACCGCATATTTTTTGTGTAGCTACGTGTCTGTATTGGTGATGCATTCATTTTTTTGTACTTATCTTTTTATACTTTCATAGCAACGAACTTTGAATTTCTCAATTTGCAAGTGGAATTTATTTTTCTAATCAGAATCTGTTTTTCGTAATTTAAGCATTTAAAATTCTGTAACTATCAACAAATTCGACTTTGATAGTAAGATAAAAGTCCAATATTGCAATAGGTACATGCAAATTAGGTTCAAAATTTTAACAATTTGTTTGCGTAGGTATCCAGTTGTGTTATCATAACCGCAAGAAGTACATTAAGCAAATTAAATGTAAAATCGTTTTTTTTATAAATTCACCATTTAGTTTTGTAAAAGTTTGGACAATTATGTGAGTTATTGGTAGTTAGAAATAAACTATAAAATGTATGATATTTTATTTTACACAGAAAACAGTGTAAACTCTAAAGTTCACAATTTAGTTTTCAGACCCGTTATGACGAATTAAAAGTTCAATGTACATACGAAACGTATCCTTTGTAAACAAAACACCAAAAATACGCAGTTNAAAACAGTGCACAAAAACTTACAAAAAAACATATTTTGCGTTATTCGATTTCTTTTTATTACATCAGATTAAGTTATTATTTAACATTTTCATTTTTATTCATAAAAGTACAAGTATACTATTATACTAATACATATTTACACAACGGACCTACATAAATTACACAAAACACAACACTTGAGATGATCAACATGTCGTTTAAAAAAAAAATAGGTCAACATATATCGTAGAATTACATCAGTTGTATATAGGTATTTTAGTTTCGAGAAAGTAAGTGCCCAGTCCACTGTCGACGATTAACAAGTCGAAGTGAGATGAGAAATCACAATTACGGGAAAAGTTACGAAAATATAGGCACCCTTTTTTTCAGTCGTTCTCAAAATAAATATGTGTCCTTACATTCAATGCTTTTTTCTGAACTTTTCCTCCAATTCACCAGGAACCTTGAAAATGATTCAAAACTTACAGTAACATTCAGTTAATAAAATAAGGCGCTAGCAATCACACTTTAACAAAAACAAATGTTTGTTACTTTTAAAAACACTTTAACTACATATTATTATTGTTGCAAGGCTTAATATTTTATGTATTACAACAGCAAACATGAGAAGTTAGTGTGTTTGGAAACCATACTGCGCCACCATAGATTTCTAGCTTTCCTAAAACATTATTGTAATCATGCACAACGCAGAAATTTATGACAAGGAAAATTACAAATAAATAAATAAAAATAATTTTGACCATTCGTTAGTTTTTATTTATTTATAGACAGTTATCTGAAACTGTTGCCAAAGAAAAAGTTAAAATAACTTACAGAAATTTGGAAATCATTCAACTTAATTTCTTTTTAGGCAAGTTTAGTTCATAAATAATAAAGTTGTCATTTCTGTCTATTCATTTTTCTCATTTACTATAAGTACAAGTACAATAATTTTGACGAAAAATAATAAATATAGTTAAATATCTTCTCTGGGGTTACCCATGATAATACAAATAAATTAATTAATAAAAAAGCATTATCGCTTATGCAATACTGTGATAAGAAAGACATTATTAGTAAATTAAAGAACTTAATTTAAGAAAAACTGTAGAAATTTCTAAGGACTACGGTTAATAAGACTATAATAACAATCAGTTACACGTTATCCAATTTTTTTATATATATTGCATTGTTCCATCTAACTGTTCTAATAAAATTAGTATTTTAAAAAAAATTCGAATAGTCAGGTTTGATCATCAAAGCAATCTTATATATTGGAGATTCTAAATTTTATTCATTTCAAGAACAGTATAGGAAACAATAACAGAAAACTTCATTCATTTTCATATTTGCCTCAACCCTAGTCCTCTTTAGAATTAACAGAAGACACAGAAATACCTTTCTTGTTAAATTGACAAAGGAAAACTTGAACTAAAAGTTGTTTATTTACATTACTATCCTGCTCTTGATATCATTCACAATTTTCTTGAAAACCAAAATTATATCAGCTTATCATTCTTTAAGTAGAAGTTATTTCTCACAATAATACAGTTTAAGTAAAAAAGCGAAGAAGTATACAAAAAAATAATGTGTTCGTAGAAGTTTAGTGATTAATTTCGGAATATATAATCTCCTAAACACTCAGTTACCTACTTATCTTTTGAAAGTATTATTATGATCAAATATTTTGTAATTACAATTGAATCATTAACATTGGTTAAATTTAATCGGTTCAAAGATTGAGTAAAATTAAATTATGAGTAACTACATATTTCAGAAAACGACTCAATTATTAACACTTGATTTTCGTACGTCCGGTTCCCTTTTAAATGTTAGTAGTTAGTAAAAAAGAAACTTAGGAAAATGCATATAAATGAAAAGGGCTTACCATAGGTTTTGGACGATGAGTATCGACAGCTTCAATTGGCAATTTTATATGCTCGACGTGACAACCATAAGCAACAGGCGTTAGCTTGATGACAGTGTGCAAGGGTACTCTTAAATAAGGTAATTCATCTGCAACAATTTGAGTTTCTAGATGTCATACGTCTTTTCAAATTCACTATTGTAAATTATCACATTACCTGCCGATTTGTCAAGGAAATACGCCAATAAACAACGAATGACCGCCTGATGTGACACAACAAGCACATTTCCTTGTCTTTCCAATTCCATTATGACCGGTTCTAATCTCGCCACCAAATCTTCATAGCTTTCCCCTCTTGGGTATCTGTATGCGAATTTGTTCTGATCACGTGCAGAAAAGTCCTCGGGGAATTTTTCACGAATCTCTTCATATGTCATCTCTTCGCAAATTCCCTAAAATTGAAAAAAAAAAATTTACTACTCACTCGTTTACAGTAAAACAAAGTTAAACAGCAAAAATAATTTTAAAAGTAAATTTTATTGTTACTTGAAGGACGTTCATTTTGTTCTTCTCTTCATATCATAATTAATTAATTTCTATATTTGACGTAATGAAGCCTTATGATATGTAGTGAAATACTAGTTGAAATCGGATTAATTTCCAACACAAATTATTGTAAATGAACCTCGATGTACTCTGTTAAATTGTTAACTGGATTCAATGACGCTGGTAGCTAGAAATAACTCGTTTAGCAGTCCAGTATACCGAAAATTACACTTTATTTTTACAATTAGCTATTCTGGAATCCTCTACAGAATCCCTTCTGTTATATTCGTCCACTTGATTAACAGGAAATTAAAAAGAGGAGAAAGAAGACTTACTGCATCAATTTCATTGAGTGCTTTCCATCTTTCCTGTGGAGCTGGTATATCTGCAACTGTTTGTATCGCCCGTTTCAGCCAAGATGTCCACACTCGAAGACCTTCAATTTTTTGTTCTTTAATATAACTGGATAACGCTTTTGCATAAAGTGCTCCCCGACTGCTCAAATTTGAATCGCCTCCGATACGATACATTAAATTCTGTTCACTTTCACCATGCTAGAATAAAAGAGTGGTGCACATTTTCAATATATTCATTTGATATTCAACTAATAATACTCACTCTAGTAAGGTAGATTGTCCTAGGAGTTATATGTATGTTCATAAGATAATAAACTATTCTAGCTTCCACATGTCCCTCGTGCTTGTGAACGACGACCTTCTGACCCGTGTTATAAATTTTCATGAAGGCAATTTTATTTTCACGTTCTTCGTCTAAAGGTTGATATCTTTCTTGGTAGTGTTCTATCCGTTTTAAAAAGTCGGTCAACACTGAGTCCTCGTTCATGTTAGCATAATCCGGACTACTGATTTTGACTTCTTTGATGTTTTGTTCGATGATTTTTGGATCGTCGCAAATCGATTCGACGAAGAAAAGCTTATAGCCCATTTTTTCAACGATAACTTCATAGATCATTTTCCTACGGTCTAGGGTGGAATTAGTGGCATCAAAGACAGCTACTTCTCCACCATTTTCTAACCATCTGATAACGTCGTTAAGAGCCTCGACAGCGCATTGTGTTCTTATCTTCATAGCTGCCATATTATCAGCTCGAAAAAAATCATGACTCTTGTATGCCGTAGTAGCATGTCTACGGTATTCTCCCAAATTAAAAACTGAAAGAAAAAAGTTTTTTGAACATGTTGAAGTTAATTAAAAGCAATACTTCTTATCCTATTATTAATTTTACAAAAATTGTTATTTTTTGTGAAGCAAAAATGACAATGAAATTTATGTTCATGACATGTTATTAAAATAAACGTATTCTGACGAATTCTTATTATTTATTTTATTACCTCTTGTTTTTATTCCTATCCAGTTCAGGTAACGTGACAGTTTCTTGGAAATGTACGTTTTGCCACGCGCTGGCAATCCAACCATTGCAATAACATGGGGACTGTTAACGAAATC